GAAGGAATAAGGTATTCTGAGAAGGGATCTTATAGTCTAGTCAAGGATAACAGTTCATAGTGGTCTGTGAGAAATCGATCCTGTCACATATTTTCTGGTCCAGTTCCAGGACGATTAACTTATTTATTCATTCAACAAGTATTTAGTGAATAATCACTATGTTTGATTATTACAACCACTGTCACTGTACAGGGGATATGAATAGGAAGACACAATTTGCACATCTAAAATGTAATGTAGGAAGGGTTGAAGATGGTGGTGTAGGAAGACTATGAACTCACCTTTTCCCACAGACACGCAGAATCTACACCTGCATACAGAGTCATGCCTCCTGAGAAAGAACTGAGGGCTGATGAAACAGCTCTGCACAACAAAGAATAGGGGCACCACACAGAGAAGAGACAGAGACACAATAATGACCAAAGCCCCACACCTGGTGCTACGAACTGCGGGGCAGGGTAAGGGGTGGGATATCACTGAGTGGCCCGTGTACAGATTCACCTAAGCTGGAACACAGCAAAAAAACCAAAACAAAAAACAAAAAACAGTGGTTTAAAGGGCAATTAGACTGTAAGTGAAGGAAACCCATTTATGAATCCTTGAGTGTACACCAAACAGTTGGGGAAGTATTGGAACTCTCTCTGAGGTTGGAGCTGCTGGTGAGCACCATTGTTTACATTGTCCCTCCATTTTGATAGTGCAGATGGGAGCAGCAACTGGGCGCTCTAGCTAGTCTGCTCCCTCAGTGGGCCCTGGGCCATTAGCCCATACCAGCTTCAGCTGTTCCACAAAAGTGGCTCCCCAGTTATGCCTCCTATAGCTCCAGCCTTCCCACCAAGGCTGCCCTGGCAAGGAACACACCAGGACCCCCCTGGCCTCTGCCCACTCCAGCTCCAGCTGACTCACTAAGGCAGCCCAGGCACACAACATCCCAGGACCCCCCAAGCCCATGCCTGCTTCAGCTTCAGCCATTCCCCAAAGTGCCTCCTGCATGGAGGGCCACACTTATTCCAGCCCCAGCTGTCCTACCAGGGCAGCCCTTGCACAAAGCACCCTGGGATCCATTAGCTCATGCCCACTTCAGCTCCAGCTGCCCCTCCAGGGTAGCCCTAGTGTGGAGTGCCCTGGAATCACCCAGCCCGAGCCCACCACAGCTCCAACCAGCCAGTCAAAGTCAAAAGGCATGTGTAGTCTACACAGTGGATATTCCCATACAAACCCACTCCCTCAAGACTGGCAGAGGTTTGTTTCGCCTAACCCCCAGAAACAAACACAGAAGCTCAGACAAAATGAAGAGACAGAGGAATATACTCAAAATGAAAGAATAAGACAAAACTTCAGAAAAAGAACTAATGTAATAGAGATAAACAATCTACCTGATAAAGAATTCAAAGTGATGTTCATAAAGATGCTTACCACATGAGAGAAGACTGAATGAATTCGATGAGAACTTCAATAAAGAGATAGAAAATATAAAAAAAGAACCAGTCAGAGCTGAAGCAAACAATAGCTGAAATGAAAATTAATCATTAATTGAAGAAGAGATAAAGAATTTTCCAGACAAACAAAAGTTAAATGAGTCCATCACCACTAAACTGGTCTTTTTTTTTTTTAAGATTTTATTTATTTATTTGAGAGAGAGAATGAGATAGAGAGAGCGCATGAGAGGGGAGAGGGTCAGAGGGAGAAGCAGACTCCCTGCTGAGCAGGAAGCCTGATGTGGGACTCGATCCTGGGACTCCAGGATCATGACCTGAGCCGAAGGCAGTCGCTTAACCAACTGAGCCACCCAGGCACCCACCACTAAACTGGTCTTACAAGAAATGTTAAAGAGACTTCTTTAAGTGGAAAAGAGAAGACCATAACTAGAAGTAAGAAAATTATGAAATAAAAACATTTCATTGGTAAAAGCAAACATATAATAAAGGTAGTAGATCGATCACTTATAAAACTAGTATAAAGGTTGAAAGACAAAAGTAAAATCAATTATATCAAAAAATGAGTAAAGGGATTCATAAAGAGATATAAAGTATGATATATATATATATATATAAAACATGGAGGGGGGAAGTATAAATGTGCTTTTAGAATGTGTTCAAACTTAAGTGACCATCAGCTTAATATGGACTGTTACACTCTTAGAATTTTATATATGAACCTCATGGTAACAAACTGAGAACCTATGATAGATATACAAAAAATAAAAAGGAATCCAAGCTAACACTAAAGTCATCTATCACAAGGGAAGAGAGTAAGAAAAAGGAGCAGACAACTACAGAAAGCAACAAAATGGCAACAAAGTACATGCCTGTCAATTAATTACTTTAAATGTAAATGGTCTAATGCTCCAATCAAAAGACAGACATAAGGTGATTGAATACATTTAAAAAAAAAGACCCATCTGTATGTTGTCTACAAGGGACTCACTTCAGGCCTAAAGACACACATAGACTGAAACTTATGGAAAAAGACATTCCATGCAAATGAAAGTGAAAATAAAAAAGCTGAGGTAGCAATACTCGTATCAGACAAAATACTTTGTTTACTTATTTTTAAATTTAAATTCAATTAATTAACATATAATGTATTATTAGTTTCAGAGGTAGAGGTCAGTGATTCGTCAGTGTTATATAAAACCCAGTGCTCATGACATCACGTGCCCTCCTCAATGTCCATCACCCAGTTACCCCATCCCTCCACCCGCCTCCCCTCCAGCAACCCTCAGTTTGTTTCCTATGATTAAGAGTCTCTTTCGGTTTGTCTCCCTCTCTGATTTCATCTTGTTTTATTTTTTCCCTTATGATCCTCTGTTATGTTTCTTAAATTCCACATATCAGTGAGATCATATGATAATCATCTTTCTCTGATTGACTTATTTCACTTACCACAAAATAGACTTTAAAACATAGAGGAATAAGGGCAACTGCATGCTCTGGGAAGGGCTAGGTGGGGAGGCGGGTGGCTGCTTGCTGGATGCAGCCACAGGTCATGTGACTGAAGGGATCCTAACGGATGCCGGCCCTCCTCCCCTGGCCTGAGCGCCCAACAGGACCCCAGCTATGGGGTGCTGCTACAGCAGCGAGAACGAGTACTCGGACCAGGACCAAGAGGAGCGGAAGCTGCTGCTGGATCCTAGCAGCCGCCCTGCCAAAGCCCTCAAAGGAGCTGAACCCAACTACCACAGCCTGCCTCCCACTCGCACAGATGAGCAGGCCCTGCTCTCCTCCATCCTTCCTAAGACAGCCAGTAACATCATTGACGTGTCTGCTGCGGACTCCCAGGGCATGGAGCACTACAGCACCCGCTTGGCTGTGCTGAGCCACAGCCTGACCCACTGGAAGAAGCTGCCGTGGCTGCCATCTCTCACCAGCCAGCCCCACCAAGTGCTGGCCAACGAGCCCATCCCCTTCTCCGACTTGCAGCAGGTTTCCATGATAGCTGTTTATGCCTACAGGGCACTTTCTCAGATCCAAGTGGATGCAGAAGAGGAGCTGGTTGTACAGTTTGGGATCCCGTGAGGAGAAGGATCCTTGAACAAACTCTTCTCCTCTCTTTGCCCCATCTCCATCCTGCCTCCTGGCTCCCGGCCTCTCTGCGGCTCACACAGTACCCTAATGTGCTACTAATCACAGAGAAGAGTGTGGAAGACGAGAAGAGTGAGGCTGGAAGCCTGTGCAAATGAAGATGGAGCAAGGAAGGGTAGAACGATTTGGGACTGGTGTTCAAAGCCCTGGCCAGAGATGGGGTGGGGGTCAAAAGGTTAGGGCCTAGGGTGCCTGGGTGGCTCAGTTGGTTAAGCGACTGCCTTCGGCTCAGGTCATGATCCTGGAGTCCCGGGATCGAGTCCCGCATCGGGCTCCCTGCTCAGCAGGGAGTCTGCTTCTCCCTCTGACCCTCTTCCCTCTCGTGCTCTCTATCTCTCATTCTCTCTTTCTCTCAAATGAATAAATAAAAATCTTAAAAAAAAAAAAAGGTTAGGGCCTAGTAGGTCTCCACAGACACTGGAAAAGTGGAGGTACCACTGTGAGGGTGACCCCTAGGGGGCGTATGGGACCCCCTTCCTACCTTCTCTTGGCCTCACTCCTGTCTCCCTCTCCCTTGACTCGGTGCTCACATGCACCTCACTATGGTTTGTTACTACAATATTATTGGCTATATTCCCTATATTCATTACATCCCCATGACTTACTTATTTATAACTGGAATTTTGTACCTCTTTATCCCCTTCACCTATTTTGCCCACCCCCCAATCCCTCCCACTCTGTTAACCAACAGTTTTTTCCCTTTATCCATGAGTCTATTTCTCTGTTTTGTTTATTCGTTTCATATTTCTTCATTGATGATTTGCTTTTCCCATTTCTATTTCCTCTCTTCTCTTGATATTCCATTCTCACTTATTTAGACTTTACTTTTTTCACTTACGATATACTGCTTTTTATTATGATCATTTTATCCACTCATTCAATCAACATGTTGAGGAGGCTTGGAAGTGAGGGTGGCATGAGTCAAAGCTTTAAGTACCTGCTTGTCATAGTTTTATTTTTCCTTTGGATCGTGGCAATTAACTAACACAGGCGGCCACTACAGGGGTGACATACCGAAGAATGTATACAGCAAACTGTGTTAAGTCCTCTTACACGAGAACGTGCATGGAATGGACTGTATTTGCCTGGCTCTATAAAAGGGTGAGATCTCCTCTGGAGTCGCATTAGCGGATTGCCTGCGACGCCCCTCCTAATCTGAATAACAGAACTTATTTTTTCCCTCATGTTTGTAGCGGTTTTCTGAGATGTCAGGAGATTTTATGTTTAATTTCTCCTCGCCAATATCAATTAATTTGTGTCTCCGACCTTTACGACCCCCGCCCCCAACGGTAAAGTAGGACGGTAACCGACTCGCCGCCCAGCTCGCCGTGCGTGGCGCGGGCGGACGAGAGAAGCCGGGAGAACCACGACTCCCAGCATGCCCTGCGCTCCCAGCGCTCCCGGCTTCCTCTTCCGGTCTGCGGGCTGCTGAAACCGGAAGTGCGGTGCTGTGGGCGCCCCGCGGAGATTGGTTCACCTTCACCTGCGCGAGCCCCCGCCGACCCAGGTGGGAAGCCAAAAGAGCAGTGAGACATGAACGGAAGAGTGGATTATTTTGTCACTGAGGAGGAAATCAATCTTACCAGAGGACCCTCGGGTATGTGCGGCACAGGTCGTCTCCGGGAGCAGGGTGCTTGAGGTTGTAATTGCAGAGCGGACACCTCTCCTGCTGAGCGCGATTCCTTTGGCCTTGGAGCCGGCAGGCCCCAGCCTAGAGGTTCCCTGCAACGCTCTGAGCACGTAGAAGACTATATTGGCATCCATCGTTAGCCCGACCCGGATCTGAGGAATCCACCTCATTTTTCAGTCGGATTATCACATGTATTTATAGTCAGGAAGGTTTCGCGTGCTAATAGGCCTAGAAAGTTCTGCCCCAAAGCCTGCTTTTTAACACCACACCCCTCCTTCCGTTGCCTACTTTATCCCTTTTCCTGTGAGACTGTTCAGTAAAAATGGGAGCGTAAACGGTGTTGAGTAAATGCATAGCCGTTTTCTTGGTGCTAGAAATCCCTCCCTCCTCCTTTCCGTTTTTGGGAAATTAGAGTGTCAACTGGAATGCTAAAACGGAAAGAAACCTTACAGATTTGCTACAGCACTTTTCAAACCTGGTTGTGCCTCAGAATTACCCAGGGTTTCTCGGTTTTGCTTTAAAAAATATGTTAATTCCAAATAAAATCTTTCTTAAAAAATGTTAATTCCTAGGTCCCATCTCTAGGAATTTGGAGTCAATGCAAGTTTTGTTTGTTTGGGTTTTTTTTTCTTTCTTTTTTTTAAAAAACCACGTCCTGTGACTCTGATACCGCTAAATCCTCACTTAGTCCTCAGTCAGCTTTCCCCTCGAACCTCCCCGTTTCCACCAACGCTGTCTCTCCACTGGGCTCTTAACGCTACTTATGTGCAGCCTGCCTTGGGTTTTGTTGCCTTCCCTTTACAGCTGTCTCGTGTATGGATTAAGAGCTTTAGCTTTGGGATTATGTAGATCCATCTGGTATCTAACCTCTTACTAGAATTTTGACATTGGTTGACTGACTTTACTGGTAGAAGCTATGCCTTAGTTTCTCATCGGTAAAATGTGCCTGTTAATAGACCCTATACTTCATAGGGTTATGAGAATGAAATGAGTTAATCTGTGTGAAACGTTCAGAACATGGCCTGACACCTGGAAAGCACTGTTTGTTTGCTACTGTTGTTATTGTTGATAGATGAATAACTAGATTAGTACAATAAATCCTGCTAAATACTGTTTTTCCAAGTCTTCAGTAACTCATCAAGTACTATGAGCTCTAGTTCTGAAATGTTTCTGTAAATCTGCTCCTTTTTGCTCGCCGCTCCACTACCTACAACAGTCCATCATCTTTCCTCATGTGGAATTTTGCAGTATCTTGACCACCACTTATAGACTATTCTTCATAAAGTATAGCTTTCAGAATCATCCATACTTTGTCTTTTTTTCTTGTTACACAAGATTGGAAGTCAGCTTTACTTATGGAAATGTAATTCATTCTAACCTGCATAATTTAGTGTCATGCTTCATAGGAGCTCCTAAACGTTTGTTGAATGCTCATTCAGTATGCCAGTTCTTTTAGATTCATTTTTCCTATTTTATGTAAATTTCTCGTTCTCTCACTCTTAATATTTATTGACTTTTGAGGCTAATACGGAAAAGTATTGTTAAGCCAAAAATCTGCTTTCCTGTACTTTTCATCCATAGGCACTCTAGGGCCAGTTAAAACAATGCTAGTTCCTTTTCTGATTGTCCTGCAAGTATTTAAAGTTGTTCTGCTCCTGTTTTGTCTGTTTCCTCTATAGCCTAGGTATCCCTAATTATAATATTAGCTGCCTTGATGTGATTTGGGATTTAATTCTTGTCTCTTAAGAATTTCACGTACTTTGACATGGTTCTTTTGCTGTGGCATCCACAATATTTCCAGGATCTCCTGACTACAGCAGAGCAGTACTCTGATACTATCTTGTGTGTTCAAGTCACTGAATATTTTTTTAAAGTTCAGTGTAATATCACTTCACATTTTTTTGGTGTTTGCATAGCAGGGTTGACTAATGTTCAGCTCACCATTTGCGAAAGTTCCTGATCCTCTTGATCTTGCAGACGTAAAGTTCCTGGTGTTGACATTTTTCTGAATCATTGGAGTTAGAACAAACTTCATGGTACTCCTTAAGAAGAGTAATTATATCTAGCTAATATATTTCCCCCCAAAGTAGTTTAGTTTCTATAGTATATGTGTGTTTATTCACAATGAGTATTTATTCATCAGGTGACTCCTTGAATTTTCCTGAGTATTTTCAGGTCTTACTCATATAGGTTGGTAAACCTAAGAGTTTAGGAGAATAGAGCCACAAATTTAGGATTGAACTGGGATAAAAACAGTCATTTGACGTTTGCTTGCTTCAGTTAACAAGAGAATATTTCAAGTTTCTGTTTATCACCTCTCAAAACTAGTTACCTGGTATGTTGTACTTCTAAGAAGTCTCACATTCTGATTCAGCTTTTCTTCCTGTGTCATCTTGAGGGAAGCAGTCATTTATCACCACCAGAAACTTCCACTAACTTCGGTAGGCTCATAGAGATCTTTTGTTCTGTAGAAGAAATATGAAAAGCCTCTAGTTCTGAATATGCATTTCTGTTTGTAGGCAACATTGTCACTCTTTATGTACAACTTCCTATGCAGAGACCCAATAGTTTAATCAGATAACAACAACAACAAAAATGTATATTCTTTTGCACTTTTGTACCTGTGTTCTGCCAAGGGCAAGAGTCTTGGGATATTTTCAGTGTTTGGACCCATTTTGTAAGGTAAGTGAACTTATTCTGTCTGATCATGCTTACTGCAAGGGAAAGAATGAAATCTTGGGGAAGTTATGACAAAGAAGTGAGTATCTGGGGAGGCAGAAAGAAGCTTGGCATGTAGCATGGCATCTCTCCTATTCCTACCTCCTCAACTGTTTAAGGCGACACTTAGGCTGAATGACTTTGGAGGTGTCTTCCACTTCCAAGAGTTGATGATTTTTTTGGCGCATTCCACATGTTATTTTATGATTCCTGCCATTTTGGACTAACAGTGGGTGATCTGAAGAATTGTCAGAGGCAGTGGTCACAATTTCAAATGGCTTCAAAGGCTTGAAGAGTTCACCTTTTATCCTTTATGGAACACTGTTGATCTTTCTTCTTTCTGTGGAAGTTCAGCTTGATTACAGTCTCTAAGCTTCCCACATTGTCCTTTATCAAATTAAGAGTTCTTAATTTTGAAAAGACCCAGTCACTCTAAGAAGTATCACAAGAATCTAATCTAGCTCCCCCCACCTCCCCACCCCACTGTAACAGGTAGAGATTGGCCGTAAAGACAACCTTGTGACCGCTGGGTGTTGACATTAGGATTCCTTGTTTCAGGACTGAGGCCTCAGTGAGTTTCAGCAGGTTGCTCCTGATACATTATCTCTAAAGAAGGAAGAGAATCTCTATTTTTCTACTTTTTTTTTGCAGAGGATACTGGGTTGGTATGATGTTTTAGTAATGAATAATTGGGGAGGGTATTATATTTCTGGCCCTGTGCTAGTTACTTTATATTTTAACTCATTTAATCTTCACAGCAACCCTGAGTGCTAAGTGATTCATCCACATGATTAGATGAGGAAATGATCTCTCAGAGAGGTTAGGGATTTGTCCAAGTTCTAAAGCCGGTAAGTTTAACCTAGATCTCTTAATTCTACTATTCCATATATTACCTCCCAATATAGTAGCCATGTCTAAGGAGTTGACTGCCAACCTTTCTCCTGGCCTTTATTTGATTATATCATGCCTTAAGGATTTGAAGCATCTTAAATGACTCGCGCAGTCCACAGTGGAAAGTTTTTATAGTTTGCTATTGATAGAGCTGAGAGCATGTCAAGGTAAGAACCTAAAAACAAGAAACCCCATTAAGTCCAAGCATTTAAGTCTCTACAGATTGGTCATGTGCTTTGCATTTGACCTTGAGACTGTTGTTACGTTTTCTGAACTGTTCATTCATGTACCAAATAGATCTGAGCCTAAGATGCTATATCTATCTCTTGCTTGCATGAAGTCTTACCCTCATGGAATTTACATTCCAATGGAGACATTACATTCACATGTGAAAAGTGAAATCTCAGTGCAAAGGATGGTTAAGGACTATGATGAGCATGGATGTTGTCAGAAGACAGAGGAAGTATGGCAGGGAGTGTGACCTTGTGCTGGAAAAGTCCGAAGAATGGAGCCATTGATAAGGGCCAGACTCATCAATTACAAGGTAGAATTTATGTTGGTCTTATAGACAGACCAGTGCCAGGCACAGGCAAGGGTATGGCCTAAGCAGTAATAGAAAAGAGAAAATTAGTAAAGCATATTCTGAGGTCAGTGAGTATACCAGCCTGGATAGAAGGGAGGGTTCATTTAGGAGACTGAAGGGAGATGAAGTTGCTGAGGTAGACTGGATTATGAAAAGTTCTTAATGCTAGTGTGGAAACTTAAGCTTTCTCTAAGGTTCCATCTTGATTCCTTCCCCTTCCTGTTCATTGATTAAGACAATTCAAGAGTCACCTCCTCCAGGAAGCCTTATATAGTCTAGCTGCCTCCTTGTTATGAATATCATACATCATTTATTGAATGCTCCTCATGTATTGCTAAACTAAGCACTTTGTTTCATGTACTCCCAACAAGGAACAGTTGAAATGATTATCCCATTTTACAAATGAGAAAACCTTGACTCCTATGTCACGCAGTTCTTTAAGAGGTAGAGTTAAGAATCGGGTTCAAGTCTATGTGACTTAAAAACCTAGGCTCTGAACCTTCATAGAAAGTTTTTGTTTTCTTTAGGCTCCAACTGGACTCTGTGCATATCCCTGTCTTAGTGTTTATTTCTATATTTGCTTCCTTATTTGTGTCTCCTCCCTCTACTTCACTCTGAGCTCTTCTGATCCAAAGGTATATACTTCATCTTTTGTTTTCCTAATGCCTTGCTGGGTATAACACAAAGTGGTGGGTAAGTGTTCATGAAATGACTAGGAAAACTGATAAATGTCAGAAAAATAGAATGTTGTTAAGTAAAGAGAACCAGTAACGTT